TTTTTTTTTTTTTTTTGGTACTGGGGATCGAACTTGGGTCCTTGCGCTTGCTAGGCAGGCGGCAGAACCACTGAGCCAAATTCCTGGCCCTTGGCAGAGTTGTTTTTAATGCTTTGGGTGCCACAGTGGCATCAATACTGTCCCTGTCTGTTTATACAGTTACTAATTCATGGCTGATGAACCACTTTCCCAGGACCACGATTGGTGCGTACAAGATAAAATGCACTAATCTCATTGTACCTTTGTATATTTGTGAATATAATTACACGCATCTTCAGTTTGCATCGAGCTATATCCCCAGCCTATTTTTATTTTTTATTTTGATATGGAGTCTCTGAATCTCCAAGTTGTCCGGGCTGGGTTTAATCCTCCTGCCTCAGCCTCCCAGAGTGCTGGGATGATAGGTGTGTGCCACTTGCCAGGCTTGTGCATGTATGTTTTCACTGGCCTCTTATGAGAGTTACATGTTAACAGAGTTGCGTGTCATATCCTCCTACCGCTTGCATCTTGTTACTATTTTTCGGTTGCAGAGCTCGATCTCCTATTTTATCATTTTTTAGTGTTTTTATCAGAAGCAAGGTAAGGCTGTGCTGCCGTCCCTTCTGTGAAGGAGGAACTGGCAAATGCCTGTCTGGTCTTTGCTTTATTTGTACCATTACTTTACTTTCTACTTTGCTGGACATATACCATCTGGTTTTTGGCTGTCACTCACTAGTTATTTAGGTAATTACTGAACAGGACCCACCTAACTTGGCACTTTGGAGAAAGGAGAGACAAGACCTTTTGGGACTCTGTGGGGAGGCGCTTGTGCTACGGTGAAGAGAACAGACACACAGATAAGTGAAAGGCGGCACAGCAACTGGATGGTAGGTACCACAGGAAGAGGGTAGACCAGAAACCCAAGGAGGAGACAGGCAGGAGGATCGTGCACTGCTGGGGAAACCTCTCCACCAGAAGGTTGCTCTATGCCCCAGGGGCCAAAAACCCTACCCGGTGAGCCTGGGCTGATCTTCACCAACCATGATCTTGTGAGCGGATTCCGGGGCCGCCCTGCTCTGTGCTGTGTCTGGAGCAGCTTTTGCATCTGCAGGGCTCTGCGATCTTTTGGGTGGAGGTTTGGCTGAGACGTTCACACATTCGCTTGGAAGGAAGTTGACCTGTACACTTTCCCAGGAAGGGAGAAAAGCTGAATTAACTAGCACTTGGAAAGTATCCATAGATTCTTGGCTCAGAAAGTGTTTGGGGTGCATTTATATAATGCTGTTTCTTTTCCTATAGCACAAAGAAATGACAGGAGGAGGAGGAGGAGGAGGATGAAGAGGAAGAGGAAGGGCAATCAGAGAGCAAAACAGTGCTCAAGAGGTCATTCCAGCCCCTTTGCCCGACCCAAATGGACGCCACCTCCCTTACCCCAAGTTATGAGCAACTGAATTGAGACCTGGCCTGCCAAATTCTCAGCTGGCGTAAGTTTTTACAGCTCCGCTATAAACCCCTGAAAAGTGAGGCATATAATGGAAACACTGACATAACCTGAACTCCCAGAGGTGCCTTGTGCCACTCTAATTATTCCTGGGTCTCTTCGGCCCACTTCCCAGCCTCCGCTGGCACAACCGGCTGCAGCAGCTCGGCCCGGCCATCCTGGGGGCTGAAGGTTGGAAGTGGGCTCACGGGGAATAATGAGACAGTGTCTGCCGGTGGGAGGCCCCTGCTCCACACACGCAGGCCCCTGCACCTCCCCTTCCTGCTCTTGTTCTCCCCCTGCACCACCTCCCTGGCCCTCTCCCCCTCGCAAAAAAAAAAAAAAAAAAAAAAAAAAAAAAAAAAAAAAAAAAAAAAAAAAAAAAAAAAAAAAAAAAAAAAAAAAAAAAAAAAAAAAAAAGGCAGAACAGTTCAGTTGGTTGTAAAAATTAATGAGTTCAGATACAGACTTGCCTTATTCCGGTCCAGCTGCGTAACCAGGGCGATTCCGACCAGCATTGTAGACGCTGACATCAGCTCTACGCCCCAGCACAATGCTGCTCTGTTTGATCTCAGAAACAGATCAGGCTCCTGGGCTTTATACATCCTGCTTCCTCCCTACGTAAACTCATTTTATGACCCACCAGGACAGCGCATCTCCACCGCTCTCTCCCCAGGCAGCCAACACCAGAGGATCAGGCGCCACAGCGGACTCCTCTCTGACCAGCTGGACACTTGGATCCAGCTTTCCTGGTCTTCTTGAAGGGGTTTTTCCTCTCCCTCCTCCACGTGTTGACAACTGGGGAAGGATGATGGTGATAATGATCTCACCCCTCTCCCTGTGCACAGATCTTCACGGCCATCAGTGCTCTTCTGTGTCCCTTCCAACTGTGGCCGGGGACCACCCCGGGGGGTGGAGGTGGGACCCCTATTTTATACATGCAGAAAGGGTGGCTGTGCTGGTGAACACAGCTTCCAGCAGCCTTGACTCAGCCCGGGGCTCACTGCCTGGGCTCAGGTGTCACCTCTCGGTCCCTGCACCTGGCAGATAGACTGAGACTTGAGCTGTAAGAAGGCCCCGTGGGCCCACTTCCTGCGAGGCTGAAAGAGAAGGAACACGGCAAATCTACTATGTGCCCTTCAAAAGTGCACCGGGCTGCTCTTACCTGTCACAGCCACATCCCACCCCTTCTGCAAAATGCCCATCCATGAATGTTCACTCCTAGCTTCTGCTAGTGGCTATAAATCTCTTGGCATCTGTTAGGTTGCGGCTGTCTCATCCCAATCTGTGCTCCTGCCTCCCTTTAAACACACTCATTCCTTCGTTCTTGCCACTTCCTGAAGCAGTTCTGGAAGGCCTTTCACGAGGGTCTTTCTGAGGTGTGATCACCATTCGGTGGCTGTGGCTGCCCGATGCCATGCAGTGAAAAGGCAGCTCCTAAAAGCACGACGAGTGCGTCCCCATCCACCTTATTCACTGGATCTGGCACCGTGACACTTCTGGCTCTTCCCCAAAGTCAAAATGGCCACGAGAGGACATTTTGAATGAATTCAGGACATCAAGGCAGCCATGACAGCGCCACTAAAGACCCTCACGAAAGAGGACTCCGGAAGTGCTTCAGAGGGTGGCGAGGGTGACGGGATCAGAGTGCCTGGAGTGAGGCGGGCGATTCACGGCAATGTATCTTTTACTGTAGTATCTTTGGTTTATCTAAACATGCACCATATTTATCTATCTTCGTACATTATAAAGATACCATCTCCCATAAAATCACACTCACAGGTCCTGGGAGGCAGGACTCTGACGTATATTTTTTGAGGGACCCAACTGAGCCCATAGCAGACTCCTGCATTCCTTTCCTGCTTGTCTAACTGCTCATCTGGACTGAGAAGCTAAGGAATTGGACTGGTTCCCAACTAGCCATCGAGGTGGTGTTAGGAATCCCTTATCCTGATCCCCTGCTTACTATAGTGTTTTCACTCAGTCTGCACAGAATCTCAGGTTCCTGTTTTGCTCTAAGGGAAGAAGAAATGAGGAAGAAATGGCAGTGGTAGTCAGAGCCTGCCCTTTGCTGGAGGCAGCTGGCCTTGTTGGGGGCTCTGCAGCTGTGACTATGAACTCCTGCCCACCGACGTGGCTTTCTCCACTTGACCACAAGAACGAGTCTCTGCCAAGGACCCGAGCTGGGAAACTGAACTGTTTTGCAGGTTTGGAAGCCCACGCTCCTCTATTCCAGACCATCTTGAGTGGGTATTACTGTATCTTGAGC